TTAATTACCAAATATCCCCTTCAAATTTAGATTATGTTACAATCCACTCCTTATGATTTTAATTTAAACAATTTGTTCCCTTCCAATTTCCACTTAACTAAATTAACTGATGAATGGATGGAAAATGTAGGTGTCCAAAATACCCTTTCATCTATAATCCTCTTCTTCTTTTTCCTTTTTTATTTTTTATTTTTTCTAACTCCCTTTCCCTCTATGTTCATGAAGAGAGTAGTCAACACCTTGACATCTCTACCTTCACTTTCACCGCCAACGCCAACCGACACCAANTTTCTAACTCCCTTTCCCTCTATGTTCATGAAGAGAGTAGTCAACACCTTCACATCTCTACCTTCACTTTCACCGCAAAAGCCAACCGACACCGACACTATCATCACTTCTGCCACCACCACTAAACACATACTTTCATAACCAACTTCAAATACAGTTCTACTTGCAATTCTATTCCATTAAAAATATATTTTTTCTTAAAAAAACAAATCATTCAATCAAAAACTTCACTACTTCATTGATTAATAACCAGCGACTCCGGATGCATAATAGGTTGAAGCAGCAACACCACCCCAGGTTTCCACTGGCGGGCGACCCCAAATCCTAGTCACCATAGTAGCTACGGCCCACCATCCCCAACCAACCAACCAACCAACCAACCAAAAAGGAAAAGAGAAATAACAGCCCTTGGAAGAATGTAGTTGGCTGCAGCCTTAGGAAGACTAGTACTGGTAGTGGTACACACCGGTAATTGGTAACATACATGAATACATACATACACATGATATGAGTTGTGTTGGGAACTAAACATATATTCCAGTCCGCCCAGCAGAATGTTTACTAAATGATTAAACGACCGAATGGTTACAAAGAAAATAGTTATGTTATGTCAACGTAGTAGTAACTAGCTAGCTGGCTGGCTGGCTATTATATATTCATACGTACATTATAGAGGAAGTTAGCCACAACAGCCCTTGTCCTTCCGGAGTTTTTGATCATCATCATCATCATCTTCATATAATTAATCAGTAATTTGCTCATTGATTTGCTTAATCCATCGAGTTTATGGTTGCAGACTTGCAGAGGAGATGTGTCCTTGATTGAATTCATGGTTCTGATGTGAAAGGCTGTTTTGCTAATTAATTAAACACTTTTATGTATGCCAATATTAATTAGTGTAACTTGTCTTCAACATACTGCTCCGAAAAACAAAACAAACCAAACCAAAAACTACCCTATCATTAGCTGTCCAACGCCCTCTGTCTCTAAGAATAGCTGGATAATACCAAAACCACAAAATAAATAAATACATTTCATCTTTATCTCTCATCATCATGTCTGGTATAAATTTATGTTGCGACAAAACTTATTAATTTTTACTCAATTCATACCGATGATGCTCCAAAATAATGGCCCAAGCCCAACAAATAATATTTTGGGAGTTTTAGTGGGTAAGCAGATTCAAAGGTCAATCTATGGGGAACAAAAGAAAATAACGTGTAAGTGATTCACCTTAGCCGAGAGATTATGGCTACATCCACTGTAAGGGAATCTCTTGCTTCTTGGGGTGTATATTACTTGATTTAATAGTGAGTACAATAATATTGCAAGTACGGGTCTTTACAAGAACAAATGCTTCTTGCTCCCCTCATTGTGTCGAGGGCTCGAGAGTGCAATAAAGAAGATGATCCTCTTTATGGTAGGGTAACAGTGTTCTATTTATACAAGTGATCTCCTTTAGGGTTGCCGTTGACTCCTTCTTTCTTTTACTGATTTTGTGGGTTCTCCCGTTGTTGTCTTGCAGCAATTTCTGTTATTTGGTGTCATTGTGTCCACGATCCCTAGATGGTTATGCACACCAACATCCTCTGCATCAAGGAGTGCGTGATTGTCATGAATGTTAGAAGTGGTCCCTTTGTCACGTGGTGCCACGGGAGTGTTCCAGAATTGGCGTTGAGTTGGGTTTCTTTATCCTGACCTATCCTTTGGCTGAATTGGATTGAGACTAGGTTGGACTGCAAGTTTTCGGTGCCGTTGGGCTTTGCCCTTTAGATTCGGCCCTCTCTACTCTTGATGTGGGCAAACTGTATGCGCTTTATTTGGGTCATTATGCAAATAAAAATTTCCTGAATTTATTGAACTCTTTGGGCCATGACGAGGCATACCTAAGATCCCATCATTTTNGGCTTTGCCCTTTAGATTCGGCCCTCTCTACTCTTGATGTGGGCAAACTGTATGCGTTTTATTTGGGCCATTATGCAAATAAAAATTTCCTGAATTTATTGAACTCTTTGGGCCATGACGAGGCATACCTAAGATCCCATCATTATCGCATACTAATTTATATTTATATACTATTTTAAAAGGTCATGATATGTGAAAAATATTTTATTTTCAATATTATCCTTTAGCATTTTTATTATGTCATCCATGTCCTCCGCTTCCAGGCGTTAATCAGTCTGTTCCTATCTTCTCTCTCTTCTCTCCCTATTTCCTCTCACAATCACATAGCCGTTACACTCTCCCTTCTCAGCGGTTACACCTTCTTCCTCTCTCTCTCTCTCTCTCTCTCTCTCTCTCTCTCTCTCTCTCCCTCTCTGTTTCCTGCAAATTCACAGCCCCACCTCTTCAGCTTCCCTATCCGTCTCTCCACCCCCCTTCACCGTCCCCCTCCCACTCTCTCTCTCACACCGTCATGGACCCCCCTTCACCGTTCCCCTCTCAGTCTCTCTCTCCCCAAATGTATTTAATTACATATATTCAATTACCAAAGTCAGTTACTCATTATAGATTTCAATTAGACATCCATTTTCTTTGGATGTGGCTATACACATCCCAGCAATTAATTTGTTTAATTAAAAAGACTGATGAGCTTCTTCGTAATCCTATTTACAATCGGCCTTTCTTGTCCGAAAATTTCTTCGAAATCCTATTTGCCAGCGCTTGTGTCTTGGTATTACACTTTACACAGCAAAACTGCTTCTTCTTCAAGCTTTCCACCGCTAGAGGAGCTCTACCCTCTCCCTCTTACCAGGTAACTACTGTGTTAAAATTATTAGTTCTGAATTTTTGGTTTGAATTATTACTGAATTAGATATGGTTTATGCTGGTGTTTTCTTCTTTGTGAATTCTTTTTTGATTCAGTTTATTATTCTATTTAGTTGCTGGTGGAGAACATTAGTTTATGTCTTTTCATGGTGTTTGGTTTATTTTTTGTTCCTGCTTAAAGAATATGCGACTTGGGAGTGTTGTTCATAATTCTTTTCTTCTGTAGAATTTTTTTGTACTCATCTTTTTGTAATTTTTGTGGCTTACAATTATTTATGAGAGGATGGGTACCTTTTTGGTTTTCAATGAATGCTTAGCATACAATAACTTACAGTGGGACAGCAGCAGAGTTCCACTTCAGAAGCAAATAGGCTATAAATGGAAAGATATGTTTTAATCAGGAATTCCCAAATTTATGGGTTAATGCAAGAGAGCTTACAAGGAATGGCAGTATCAGAGCCTAAATACAGAGAAAAATGGGCTACAAACTGAAAGATGTGTCTGCATGTTGTGAAGTAAGATCAGGTATTAAGTGGGCCCACAGGCTAAACTTGCGTATTATAATCTCTTGATTTTTACAAAGGATTGTTATTTTGGCTAGATTTTACTATATAGGAGTTTCAACTTAAAAGATGTTTTCAGTTTTCCCCTCTTAAAGTTGGCCATTGTGAATGTTCTATTGAATTCTATTACTAATTGCTTGTATTACCTTTTATCCAGTTATCACGTTGAACCTTCGGGCATGCCCAACTCAATAGGATAAAGAATCTCATAATTTTTGTTGCTTTCGGTTTATCATTAAATGAAAGACATAAAAATTAACTTTAAGAAACCTATCGTTTGTTGTTAATTTGTGTTCAAGTGCAAAAATGAGAGTTTTTGTGGATGCATTTACCATGTATCTGTTTCTCTCTTCCCCTTCTATTTATGTATTTATCTATCTATTTCTAATTTAAATGAATGGGTTGAAAGATTAAACCGAGAACAAGGGACAAAGTTACTGAAAGGTTGGTTCATTCATTGGAGTTCATATGTCGCAAATAACCAATATGTAGAAACTGTATACAAATTCAATGCATTTAGACATTGGACTATAGCCTAATTTTTGTTCCTCAATGCAACTGTGTAACAGAGAGTCTTTGTGCATGGATGCCCCATGGTTTCATGACTGTAAATATGAACTTGAGAACTGGGTCCAAAGTCCTGATACACTCAAGTCAAGCATTGACTCTCACAAACTGTCAACAGTACAACAGGAATGTTTTGTACGACCTATTGAGGTGTAGTGTATTTAGTTTAGAGAAACACACCACGAAAGCCACTGCACGTCTGCCTGCAACCACTGCTCTGTTGTGCCATCAGCTTCGTGTGATCGACAGAAGAGAATAAAAAAAACAAAATGGAAAAGAGTTTTCTAGGCCACATAAAAATGTAAAGCTTCATTTCATAACGCTAAGGCCAGAAAATAATGTATCACATTGAATGTTCTTAGTTTTATAATTTTGTCCCAATTTTCGTTAATTAGACCAATTGTAACTTTGTCAATGGCCTCCTTGGATTTGGCGGCTTAATTACTTTGCAATCATTTATACTAATTAAGCACTTCTGATTGACCACTACAATTANCAATTTTCGTTAATTAGACCAATTGTAACTTTGTCAATGGCCTCCTTGGATTTGGCAGCTTAATTACTTTGCAATCATTTATACTAATTAAGCACTTCTGATTGACCACTACAATTATTAGAAGCTTTGAAATCATGCTATGCAGAATTACCTGTAAATCTTTTATCTTATCGGCTTTTCTTAATGGATCCATCTCAGCAAAAACCTTCTGGATTCCAACCTCCTTCGCAATTGCAGTTGCTGTTGCCCAGTTATCACCAGTCACCATGATACTTGAGATGTCCATAGAGTGGAGATAAGATATGACACGACCAACCTCAGGTTTCACCAGAGCAGTCACAAAAAAAAACTCCAGCAACTCTACCATCAATGGCAATTACCACACAAGTACAAGCAAGTTGCTCATTCTCTGAAATGTAGTTCTCAACCTCGTGACCAATTGGAACAGTGCAATCCCTCATAAGCCTCTTGCTCCCAACCAAGACTTCTCTGTCTCCAACTTTTCCACTCACCCCCGCTCCTGGGTGCACCACAAAGTTGNTGTAGTTCTCAACCTCGTGACCAATTGGAACAGTGCAATCCCTCATAAGCCTCTTGTTCCCAGCCAAGACTTCTCTGTCTCCAACTTTTCCACTCACCCCCGCTCCTGGGTGCACCACAAAGTGGTTTACGTCAGTTAAGTGTTCAGCTTTGGATCCAAGCTTCTCGCATAGCTTCTTAGCATGCTCCACTGCAGCTTTTGCTACAGGGTGCTCACTATTTGCCTGAAGACAACTTTGAAACACACTAAGTTCACATTGTAATGGGGATTATGGGTTGTAGGCAAAGGTACGACTTGCCCTCTTAAGACATTTGCCAGATCACCTAATTTATTTCCTATGATGATAATTTTTTGCACTTTTTAAAAGCATTAAATGTGATCCGGCAATTCCTATCTCTCCCCTTTTTTTAAATTATTGTGTTGGCACAAGTAGAAGTCTGAAAAACCCATATTCATTTGAAAGAAGAATGCCTGCGTATAAATTTTCCACTCCACCTTTGTTTATGGAATGCACCATCTGGATGACACGATGGGTTGTTGTGGATGAAGTATATGGTTCATTGTTTTGTTTGGCCTTGATGTGGAGGAATTCAGTTTTCACTTCATGAGTTTGGCTGGTAACAGTTATTGCCTCTAACCTGCCAAACCATTTACAAGACTAACCCTTGTGATCTTTTCTTTTGTAGGGGTCAAACCTGGATAGCAATGCGAAAATGTGGCGCTAAATTGCACATCTTATGAATTATCTCGGTAGTAATTTAATCATTATTGTTCGACTGAAACCTTTTGACCTTTCTATTGACACACTGCTCTCTCTCTCTCTCTCTCTCACACACACACACACTCAGAGGAATGGAACCAAAAGAAAGGGAATGGGACAATGTACTTTTTTAAAATGATTGAAGTCACCACATTATACTGAAAAGATCAGTTCAATATTTATTCTATCTCCGTCATAGCCTCACTCGTTAATCATAGATTCAGTTTCTGAGTAGTTGAATATGAAATTCAGATATTTGTTATCAAGTATTCTTTCACTTGATATGGAAGAACATGGCATTCGTTGCAGGAATGTTGATGGACCTTGTTTCTCCTTTGTTTCCTTCAGCATTTGTGTTCGTAGTCTGCTTAGGGAGCTTCTCAAGATCATTCAGTAAGTCCCCACTTTTGTGAGGAATATGCTCTGAAATGCTATTGAGATAAAAATAGATTGTGATCTGAATTCTTACAATCACTTTCAAAATCGTGTTTCATTCAGCTGATGTTGCAGGTGGAGCAACCAGAGCTGCTTTGACGCAACATTTTGCTCTTCAGAATAATGCAGCAGATATATCTGCAAAGGTACCACAGAAGACATTGTGAAACAAACATATTCTCATTGTCTAAAATGAATATGTACCTATAACCTTTCCATGTGTTCATTTAATATCATGCTTTCTTTTGTCATGCAAATTCATAATACCATCAAATTAATTCCTCTGTTCAATTTTTTTTTAATTCTACTTGTAAATTCAATAATAAAAATAATGGCACTATTCTGTTAATATTGCTTCACCAGAAACCATTTGGACCACTTTTGCTCATATCATCACCGCCATGATTGGAGCTGGTGTCCTCTCTTTAATTGTGATCCACCACTTCAGAAACTATTTGGACAAGGAAAGATAAAATTCACTAGGGTGTCACAGAAGATTTCACATCATTTGTCTCTTCCGCAACCCACTCACTTGGACCACAAGATCAAGCTTTCAGGGAATAGTCCTGCTGGAATTGCATGCTATGGTATCTTGGTGGATGTGCCCTTCCCTATACAGAAGGAATTCAATGCTTTGCTCGCCAACAAAGAGAAAACCAAAGAGATTGATGCTTGTGATGAAGCAATTTGTACTACCATAAGGAAGATCCATGAGCATCGCAAGAGACGGGCATTCTTTCTTGGATTCAACCAATCACCAGTGGAATTTTTCAATACTTTGATTGAATCTCAAGTCAGAGATTGAAGCTTGTAGCAGGGCAGGGCAGGGCAAGCACGTCGTAGTGTTGAGAAAGAGAATCGATTAAATTTCTACAGGCAACCATGGTAAGCTTATACACATCTTCTTACTATAAACATTGTGCAAACACCATTTCTGAATGTTATTAAAAATTCACATTCAGAATAATTCGTGCTTGTAGTTTAGTTGATGGGAAGTTTGCCACCTTACTATACAAACTAACAATCAAAAATAAATTTTCTCATTTGGCAAATGTGCTTGATGGCTCAAGTAGACTACTTCAAATGAATGGATACAATCATTGTTAGTGTCAACTTTAAAACAATACTGTTCTGTTGCAATAGTAAGATGACTGCCATGAGGCTTATCTTATGAATACTCCATATGTCACATGCCAAGACCATGCTTTTGTGATTACAAATAACCCAAATTTAGTCCATTCGATTATAACTTGAATATTAATGAATTGACTTTGTCTGAGCTTTTATTCTTCATTTGTGAGATATATTTGCAATTTTGGAATTGCATTCATTATTTAATCCCACAACTTTTTAGTTTGATCATCGAAATGTCTTATTAGATACATGATTAAGGACTGTCAATATTATATACTGGACACTTGAGCCATGGGTGGTTTCAATGGTCCGCAAGCAGATCATCTTATGTATATATGAGCTATAAAACGTCTAAAGAGTCCATTGTTCAAACAAGTTTACAGAAATCACTACTATGAAAGACACTCAAAATGGTCCACATGCAACACACGTGTGCATCAACTAGTAATGATAAAAGTGGTTTAGCATTTCTGTATTTTTTTCCTCTCCGTGATTGATTNGTCTAAAGAGTCCATTGTTCAAACAAGTTTACAGAAATCACTACTATGAAAGACACACTCAAAATGGTCCACATGCAACGCACGTGTGCACCAACTATTAATGATAAAAGTGGTTTAGCATTTCTGTATTTTTTTCCTCTCCGTGATTGATTTGATATCCAGAAGTTGTTGATATTAGTGACGACCACGCTCCCTACATGACGCTCGTTTGTTCAATTGATACCACATCTGCATATATAATAATAATAATATATGTTTCTCCCTAAATTTGCCCATCACTTTGACCTTGTATGTAGACACCATGTACGCCGCTGATTAATATTNACATGACGCTCGTTTGTTCAATTGATACCACATCTGCATATATAATAATAATAATAATATATGTTTCTCCCTAAATTTACCCATCACTTTGAGCTTGTATGTAGACACCATGTACGCCGCTGATTAATAATATGCATGCTTGCTACCTAAATAATTATTTTTTGAAACCATCAAAAATTACAACCCTTTTCAAATTAAGTCTCAACTTTTTTATATCAATATCAATATTTTATGATCAATTCGAATAATTTTTTGATGAAGTCACATCTATCCAAATTAGTCATCAAGGCTCGCTCTAAATCCTAATCATCCCCACGAAACGAGGACTTAATTAGTAAGTGTGGTTATTTCTAACACGTACGTCTCGAAACAGGTACAACTATGTAACGTGAGTTGGNAAATTAAGTCTCAACTTTTTTATATCAATATCAATATTTTATGATCAATTCGAATATTTTTTTGATGAAGTCACATCTATCCAAATTAGTCATCAAGGCTCGCTCTAAATCCTAATCATCCCCCACGAAACGAGGACTTAATTAGTAAGTGTGGTTATTTCTAACACGTACGCCTCGAAACAGGTACAACTATGTAACATGAGTTAGAGTTCATCATATTTTGATATGTATCTGTAGATAATATGATCTGTTAACACGAATAATAAATGAATTATGCTAATGTCAAATAAAAATAACTTGAAACTGACATAATTAACATGTTTAAGTATTACTGCATAAATAAAATGATAAATTTTTTTTGTTATTTTTATCAAGTATTGACAGAATCCTTAAAAAAAAAGAGAATTTTTGCTACTTATTTTTATTAGTAGACGAATGCATTAAGTTTATTTTTAGTACATAAAAAACTATGATTGTGAGTTCGATTAATTAAGAAATAATTGAAATATTTTATTCAGAGATTNTTTTGATATGTATCTGTAGATAATATGATCTGTTAACACGAATAATAAATGAATTATGCTAATGTCAAATAAAAATAACTTGAAACTGACATAATTAACATGTTTAAGTATTACTGCATAAATAAAATGATAAATTTTTTTGTTATTTTTATCAAGTATTGACAGAAACACAATTTGACACGAAACAATTGCGACCCCCTAGTTGCGGTCCCTATCACATACATGCATAGCGTTGAAGAAAAACAAAAACTAGGCTATCATTTATCTGTCAAATGCACTTTGTCGACTATACTATATATATGGCCAACAGAATATTTTGCCGCTAATAATTGGAATCTAATGATGAGGACAATATTTTTAATTTAAGAATAAAATATAGATGTAGATATACATATCAAAACAAAAAATAAAAACAAAAACAAAAACAAAAATATTTATGCTGCAAATCAGCTTTATCTTTCGGCGGCCTCGTATCGCTTATCCATTTATATGGTGTCAAAATTTNAACAGAATATTTTGCCGCTAATAATTGGAATCTAATGATGAGGACAATATTTTTAAGAATAAAATATAGATGTAGATATACATATCAAAACTAAAAACAAAAACAAAAATATTTATGCTGCAAATCAGCTTTATCTTTCGGCCTCGTCGTATCGCTTATCCATTTATATGGTGTCAAAATATATGTTACTAAATTTGTTTATAATCATTTATCTAATATTATTCTACTTTCAACTTATAAAGTAGTATAATAGCAGTCAAAATTAATCTAATACAACTTCACTAATTCACATATATATAAACCTACCTCTCTTCTCTTTCCCCTCCTACCATCTTTCTTATCTATTCCATCACTTAGAGTTAAATTTACAAAGCACGAGAAATTAAAACAAAAATAGTTATCTATACTATATTATAGGGAAGGAGAATTATTATTATTATTATTATAGAGGAGACGGACAAAACCAAAATAGTTTTTTTTGTTTACAATTAACACGTATGTTTGTTTTACACCATAAGTGGCATCTATCTATACTATCTGTTGTATACTTTGAATTATTCTAACAATTTACGACATCGCAGGTTTATTCAAAAATTAACACGTATGTTTTTCGTTGTTTTGTGGGTTTCACTTTCACAGATAATAAGTGGAAATTGGAGAAAGAAAAACAAACGGGTGCTGTTGTCCAAATGCATTTCGCCGTCATTCTAAAGCCCGACAGGGCAANTTCGTTGTTTTGTGGGTTTCACTTTCACAGATAATAAGTGGAAATTGGAGAAAGAAAAACAAACGGGTGCTGTTGTCCAAATGCATTTCGCCGTCATTCTAAAGCCCGAATGTTAGGATAATTCTACATTAATCTAAACAAGTGAGACTTATTTTAGCTGGTGAAGCAGTGACACTGTGGTGTGTGATTAGGTTAGGTTAGGTTAGGTTGATAATTGCTCTGAGTTATTCGAACTCGGTTTGGATCGGATTCAACTTAAGTTCGACTCATGTTATAAACGATTGAACTNAATTCTACATTAATCTAAACAAGTGAGACTTATTTTAGCTGGTGAAGCAGTGACACTGTGGTGTGTGATTAGGTTAGGTTAGGTTAGGTTAGGTTAAGTTGATAATTGAGCTGAGTTATTCGAACTCGGTTTGGATCGGATTCAACAATGTTTTAGACTTGTTTCTAAAAAATTCGACTCATTTATATGAAAAATAGTCAAATTATTTGGGCTCCGCTTAGATTCGACTAGCTCAACTCATTTTTTAAATAAGTTAAACTTGAACAATTTTTTAAGTTCGTTTAAAAAAATAAACTCGACAAACTTAGCTCGAACTCACAAATCTCAAATCAATTATCAACCTCCAGTAATAAACCTACAAGTTAATAAAATAAACTCTACTTTTTTTTAGTTACTAAATTAAAAAAAAAATACTTTCTTATATATTGATTTATTATTGATTAGAACAATGATGATGTAGTGTCAACGTTATATTTAATATTTTCTCCACCATTACATCCAATATTTACTCACAAGGCAAGATTTTTGTTTATCTGTTCGCAAGTGGTCCAAGTTCCTAAGACCGAGTCTTTTTGGCCCCTATGAATATGTATTAAAGAAGGGTTTGGGGCGGAGTACTGAACAGTAACTTACCAATAGTATATATATTAGTCTTGGATCGTTGGGTGTTTGTGCAGATATAGTTGGNCTCCACCATTACATCCAATATTTACTCACAAGGCAAGATTTTTGTTTATCTGTTCGTAAGTGGTCCAAGTTCCTATGACCGAGTCTTTTTGGCCCCTATGAATATGTATTAAAGAAGGGTTTGGGGCGGAGTACTGAATAGTAACTTACCAATAGTATATATATAAGTCTTGGATCGTTGGGTGTTTGTGCAGATATAGTTGGGAAACACTGAAAGTATAGCAGTCCATTAGTAGTCAGATGGGGAGCCGCGATGCCAATACAAAAAAGGGTCATGAGGAGGATGCCACCTCTGACTCTCACTCTCACTCTCACTCTCACTCCCACACAATTAGTTCAGCCACCCAAAAAAACAATGGAACTCAAAGGGAGGAGATGAGCACCTGCAACACAGTTCCATTTACAAAGCTCTTCTCTTTTGCAGATTCCACTGATTACCTTTTGATGATCGTTGGTACCATTAGTGCAGTTGCCAATGGCTTACGCTTGCCACTCATGACACTCCTTTTTGGGGAGTTGACTGATTCTTTTGGAGAAACCCAAAATATTAATGATTTGCGTCCACTAGTTTCTAAGGTAAAACACCAATTAGTTATCTTATCTCTAACTATTACTCAAATTTTAAATAAAAATCTTGATTCAATACAAATCACCCCAATCAAAGAACTTATATTTCTATTCAAAACAGTTTTTTTTTAAATTATATTCTCCCAAATTCCATTTTTTTCATTGGAAAGTTTTTTTTCTCCTCTATTCTCATTCTCTTTTTTCCCTTTTCTTTTTATTGTTGTCCCTTGTTCTGAAATCTATATTTCCATCACTTTTTAATTCTTCTCCCCAATTGAAGTTTAACCAATATTTTCTACAAATGGGCCCACAAAATCCCTTCTGTTTTTTTTTGTCTTGTTATTTCTTGCACTAAAGGTAACCCATATTTGAAGGCACGATGCAACGTAAATAAACCGATTAATTTATAGAAGATATGACTGAAGATCCCAGAAAGAGAGAGTGAAGAGGAAGAAGAGGAAGATAAAATTTAGTGTGAATAATTTTTAGAGAGATGTTAGTAACTGTTGGATAAGACTAATTAAGACCGTCGAATAAACTTATTAAAGTTTGTCATATAAATTTTTCTTCATATGTAATTTAAAACCACCGGCTAGTGCATGAATAGCAATTCAACGAGCTCATGCTTTTTAAACTTATCAATATGTTTAATAGTGATTGAAAAATAAAGATAGAGTAGTGAAAGGAAGGAAAAATTGTTGTCTAATACATAAAAAGGATCAAAATAAAATGTTGATAGATTTGAATAAAAATTTGAATTTGTCTTTGTTTTGTGTTACTTTGAGTAAGGGAGTGAAATTTATTTTTNTACAAATGGGCCCACAAAATCCCTTCTGTTTTTTTTTGTCTTGTTATTTCTTGCACCAAGGGTAACTCATATTTGAAGGTACGATGCAACGTAAATAAACCGATTAATTTATAGAAGATATGACTGAAGATCCCAGAAAGAGAGAGTGAAGAGTGAGGAGAGGAAGATAAAATTTAGTGTAAATAATTTTTTGAGAGATGTTGGTAACTGTTGGATAAAACTATTTAAGACCGTCGAATAAACTTATTAAAGTTTGTCATATAAATTTTTCTTCATATGTAATTTAAAACCACCACCGGCTAGTGCATGAATAGTAATTCAACGAGCTCATGCTTTTTAAACTTATCAATATGTTTAATAGTGATTGAAAAATAAAGATAGAGTAGTAAAAGGAAGGAAAAATTGTTGTCTAATACATAAAAAGGATCAAAATAAAATCTTGATAGATTTGAATAAAAATTTGAATTTGTCTTTGTTTTGTATTACTTTGAGTAAGGGAGTGAAATTTATTTTTAGTCAGACTTAAATTTGCGTCAAGAAATGTCTTTGAGACTTCACTTTACATTTTTGGATTTATATTAATTAATTTGTGGGAAGTATACATATGAGTAGTAGTCAGTCATGACCATACTATTACATTCTTGATCATCAAAGTTTTCTTTGACAGGTTATGATATGACTGATTCTATTGTAAATACTAAACGGTTGTTGTTGTGTGGCTACATTTTAGGTTTCTCTGAAATTCATATATTTGGCTATGGGGGGCGGTAGCGTTGCATTTCTCGGTGAGTAGGGGAATGGAGATTTATTTTATGAAACTAGGTAGAAATGAGTATTATATATATATATATATAGTAGATGCTTCTTAATTACTACTACTGATTCAAAACCATGTGCGCTTCGCTTCTTCTTGTTGGTTTTTACTTTTTACTTTTTAAGAGGTGGCTTGTTGGATGATCACCGGAGAGAGACAGGCCACACGAATAAGAGGTCTTTATTTGAAAACTCTTCTAAGACAAGATATGGCTTTCTTCGATGAGGAAACTAATACAGGAGATGTTGTGGGTAGAATATCCGGTGACACTGTTCTCATACAAGATGCTATGGGTGAGAAGGTAGGAATCATGATAACTATCGGCTTAAAAACACACACACATTCATATACTATACAAATCCAATCCTGATTAGTTATAGATGCATGTAGTAGGTAGGTACCATTAATTGAGTTTGGTCACATGCAGGTTGGAAAATTTATACAACTGGTGTCAACATTCGTAGCANTAAAAACACACACACATTCATATACTATACAAATCCAATCCTGATTAGTTATAGATACATGTAGTAGGTAGGTACCATTAATTGAGTTTGCTCACATGCAGGTTGGAAAATTTATACAACTGGTGTCAACATTCGTAGTAGGCTTTACGATAGCGTTCATAAAAGGGTGGCTTCTTACGCTCGTCATGTTATCATCTATTCCTCCCATGATCATTGCTGGTGGAATGATGTCCCTCTACATATCTAAGGTGGCAACTCGTGGACAAAATGCTTATGCAAAGGCAGCCACCATAATCGAACAGACAATTGGCTCCATCAAGACGGTGTGTGTGTGTGTGTTTGTATATATATCTATAAATATTATATATATTAAAAAGACAATGATGTCTGGCTTATTTATATATATAAACTTATCTTATCATTCAGCTAGACGTGTCTGGCTTCATTTGTATTCTGGGTGAATAAAAATACTCTGACATCACCAATATTGTGGCAGGTTGCATCATTCTCGGGGGAAAAACAAGCTGTGGCAAATTACAACAAGTATCTTACTAGCGCTTACAAATCCAGCGTTGACGAAGGCTTGGCTACTGGATTGGGTGTTGGAATAGACATGTCCATTGTATATTTCAGTTATGCGCTGGCTCTATGGTTTGGTGCTAAAATGATTTTGGAGAAAGGTTATACTGGGGGTGAAGTGGTCAGCGTTGTAGTTTCTGTTTTAACGGCTTCCATGTGAGCCACCTAGCTACTTAATTTGTTTTTTTTCCTAATTAAACTTAATTTTATAAAAGCATTCATTTAAAATGAAAACCAAAAGATGATCACTTAATTAATTAATTTCAGGTCTCTAGGAGATACATCTCCTTGCATGAGTGCTTTTGCGGCAGGTCGAGCTGCAGCATTCAAGATGTTTGAGACTATAAATAGGAAGCCCAAGATAGATGCATATGACACCAAAGGAAAGATATTGGACGACGACCACCACCACCACAATATTCATGGGGATATAGAGTTAAGGGGTGTCCACTTTCATTATCCATCCAGACCCAATGACCCAGTATTTGCTGGATTCTCTCTCTCCATTCCTAGTGCCACGACTGCAGCTTTAGTTGGACAGAGTGGAAGTGGTAAGTCAACGGTGGTCAGCCTGATAGAAAGATTTTATGATCCACAAGCTGGTGAAGTTCTTATAGATGGCATTAATCTCAAAAAATTCCAACTCAAATGGATTAGGGAGAGAATTAGTCTTGTCAGCCAAGAGCCTGTGCTATTTACGGGCACCATTAAGGATAACATTGCATATGGGAAGGATGGTGCAACCATTGACGAGATCAAACAAGTAGTTGACCTCGCAAATGCTGCTATATTCATTGACAACCTACCTCAGGTACTTTCTTTTCTTTTTTTGTGGTCCATTTTCTTCACTTAGTTTCTCATAGACAGACGACAGACATGACACCCTAGGTGGATTGTTAACATATATATTTTCTTTAATTTTGTTCTAACTTTTTACTGTTTGTGGTTGTGATTTTAACATTGAATTTTATTTCAAAATTGCATTCAGGGACTAGACACCATGGTTGGTGAGCATGGAACACAACTGTCAGGTGGACAAAAACAAAGAATTGCCATAGCCAGAGCAATTCTAAAAGACCCACGAATTCTCCTCTTGGATGAAGCAACAAGTGCACTTGATGCAGAATCTGAGAGCATTGTACAAGGGGCATTAGACAAGATTATGGTCAATAGAACAACTGTTGTGGTTGCGCATCGTTTAAGCACAGTCAAAAATGCCGATATGATTGCCGTGATTCATCGTGGAAAATTAGTTGAGAAAGGTCCCTTAATTAGAAAGCATATGTGTTTGTTTCTTTATTTTACAGCGCGATGTCTTCCAAACTCAAATTCATTCTTGAATTTGTTTAATTAATAAGATTTTATTAAATACTCTTTGAATTTTAAAACTTCCTTAAGGCCGGCCCTTGCTATAGTTTGTCATAGTGAAAACGAACATACGTATTAATATTTCTTAGTATATATTTTGTTGATCAATCTCAGGCACACATTCGCAACTACTCAAGGATCCTAAGGGTGTATACTCTCAGCTTATACGTTTGCAAGAAATGAACAGAGATTCAAAACGACGACATGGTGCGGATGAGAAACAGTCAAGAAAACGAATGCCAGTCATGTGTCCCTCCCTAAGCCAGCCACCGGTCATCAGCCACTCGCACTCTGGCTCTGGCGGCTCATTGCTTGGTCTGAAAACAATAATTAATAATGAATTCCATGAAACTGCAGACCCTAAAGACTCAATAGGGCAGCTGGAAACATCAGAAAAGCCTCCTACAATATTAACCCAGTTGGGTCGCCTCGCCTATCTCAACAAGCCTGAAATACCAATGTTGATAGTGGGATCTATATCTGCTATCATCAACGGTGTGATGTATCCAGTGTTTGGCATATTAGTTTCTAGTGTGGTGAAGACATTCTATGAGCCACCACAAGAGCTGAAGAAACAATCAAAATTCTGGGCACTAAATTTTGTAGCCATTGGAGTGTTGTCATTACTGGCATATCCAACAAGGACATACTTTTTTGCTGTGGCCGGGGGTAGGTTAATAAGACGAATTAGATTGATGTGCTTTGAAAAAGTGGTCAACATGGAGGTCGGTTGGTTTGACGAGGCCGAGCATTCAAGTGGAGTGATTGGTGCAAAACTTTCTGTCGACGCAACTACCCTGCGCGCTTTAGTTGGAGATGCACTCGCACAGATGGTTCAAAATGTTGCATCAGGAATTGTAGGTTTGACCATTGCTTTTGAAACAAGTTGGCAGTTGGCACTTATAATCCTCACTTTGATACCTTTGGTCGGAGCAAATGGATATGTTCAAATGAAATTTTTGGAGGGCTTCAGCGCAGATGCAAAGGTTTGCTTACTAAACAAATTTGTTTTATTAAAAGAAAAGCAACCAAAGATCGATGACATGCCAAAAAAAAAAAAAATTAATTAACTGACAACAATATTTTTTATAATCAAGAGTTATAAACATATATAAACGATTGCAGATTATGTATGAAGAAGCAACCCAAGTTGCTAATGATGCTGTGGGGAGTATACGCACAGTTGCTTCTTTTTGTGCAGAGGAGAAAGTGATGACAATGTACAAAAAGAAATGTGAGGCTCCTATGAGGAATGGGGTAAGGCAGGGGTTGATTAGTGGGGCAGGTTGTGGTGTATCTTTTGCATTGCTATGTTGCGTGTATGCAACCAGTTTTTATGTGGGAGCCAGGCTTGTTGAGGTTGGAAAAATAACATTTTCAGATGTTTTTCGAGTAAGTACATGAAAGTTTCGATAAGTTTTCTCAAGTCCACACAAGGATGCAAATATTATGAACAACAACTAATATTTCTAGTTGGTCAATGATTTTAATTCCATGATAGATGATGATGTTGGTCTTTCAGGTTTTTTTTGCTCTGGCCATGGCAGCTATAGGAATTTCACAATCGAACTCTTTTGCACGAGATTCAAGCAAAGCCAAGGGTGCAGCCACTTCTATATTTGCCATTCTAGACCGAAAGTCAAAGATAGACCCAAGTGATGAGTCTGGGATGACACTAGAGCATGTGAAGGGAGATATTGAACTACAACATATAAGCTTTAGATATCCCACTAGGCCAGATGTTCAGATTTTTCGAGACCTCAACTTGACCATCCATAATGGCAAGGTGAAGTTTATATAAAAAAAAAAGTAAATATAGTGTATATTAATTATCATACCAGCTTTTACTTTGTTCCAGGTCCAAAAATCTTATTTTTTTGTTATATATGGGTCGCTGGCCTCTTTTAGACAGTTGCACTGGTTGGTGAAAGTGGAAGTGGAAAGTCGACAGTGATCTCATTACTTCAAAGATTCTACGATCCCAATTCAGGTCGTATTACCCTTGATGGAATCGAAATTCAGCAGCTCCAATTGGGATGGTTGAGGCAACAGATGGGTCTGGTGAGCCAAGAATCAATCTTGTTTAATGACACAATTCGTGCTAACATTGGATATGGAAAGGAAGGAAACCTGGCTGAGACTGAAATTATAGCTGCATCAAAGTTGGCAAATGCTCACAAGTTCATTAGTGGGCTGCAACAAGTTAGAACCAACCAACCTTTCAATTGATTGCAATATATATACATTGGATATAAGCATTTTTTTAATTAATTTATTGATGGACGTTTGTAGTACTTCTTAACTCACTCTTGTACGTATTTTCATCTTATAAAATATAATGATGCAATATGCAGGGATATGATACTGTAGTAGGAGAGCGAGGAATACAATTGTCGGGTGGACAGAAGCAGCGAATAGCCATTGCACGAGCTATAGTGAGAAATCCCAAAATATTACTATTAGATGAGGCTACAAGTGCACTAGATGTTGAATCAGAGAGAGTTGTGCAAAATGCATTAAACCTAGTGAGGTTGAACCGTACAACAATAGTGGTGGCACATCGGTTGTCCACAATCAAGGGAGCGGATGTAATTGCTGTGGTTAAAAATGGAGTCATAGCAGAGAAAGGAAAGCACCAATCTCTCATCAACATCAAACACGGAATCTATGCCTCCTTCATTGCATATCATATGACGCCTCCATCATCTTAGTTTTTTTTATTTATTTTATTTTTTTAGACCTAATTTTATAACCAATTTTGTACATTTATTAGATCAGCCGTAAACTCCAATGTTAGGAAGGACTAGCTTTCCACCCAATTGCTATAATAAATTAGGATTCACTATGGATCTCACTTGATCTCAATTTCTTCTAAAAGGCAAAATTCCCCTTTATATTTATCTAATAAGTTATTTTTCTGTACGATTAGGTTAGAAAAAGTTAAAATTTGATAAAGAAAATCTTCAAATCAATTTCAATCACAGAAGAACATACCCAAATCAAACAAAAAAAAATGAAGCAGTGGAATTATTGAATAATTTCCGACGGTTGTGAGAGAAGAGAAAAGAGAAAGTACCTGTAGTTGCCTTGCTATTGCCACTACAATCGTGGTCTCACAGGTCTAGAATCTGAGAAGTAATCGCCAAGAGATGGTGATCTCGACTCTGGTGTGATGGATGGTAATAAGAGATGGAGATGAGAAGGAGGAGAGGGAAGATCGTGAGATCTCTCACTATGTTTGCTGCAACTAGAGGAAGACCATGAGATAATGACAGAAGGAGACGATGCCGGGCTTTGGGGACTCCGGCAAGGTGACGGAGACGCGAGAGAAACGAGTGCAAGTGTAGGGTTCCCGCTTAGGGCAAAATGCCCAAATTTCTGATTTTATAGGATTTGCACTGACCCGGTTCACATATTTTACGGGTTGATCCGACGGGTCGATCCGGGTCTGATAAATACGCCACACAGACAAGCAACCCCTGCCTAGCGAACATCCTCCGGCGCTGAACTCTAGCTTCTCTTCACCTTCCGGCGAAATCCCTACCCTCTGGCCAAAATAATTTTGTCCACCAACTCCCATAAATGTCGGGGGTTCTCCCTCTCTCTCATAAATCGGTCCACCTCCACGGTACAACCGTCGTTGCATCCAACCTTCTTCTTCATACTCATTTCCTTGCCCATGACGGTGGCAGATTTTTCACAAGAGCACAAACTCACGGAGATCCAGCTTCTTGGTATTCTAACCGTGGGCAGATATTTTTGCCCAATCTTTGAACCACTGTGTTCTTGAATTTAAAGGAGAAATAGAGAAATTGGGACCAAAACCCCAAGGAAGAAAGGCTAAGAGATTGCCTGATTTAAATCGTGAAAGAGATAAAGTATTGAAATTAATACATGAGGAAGGTAGTTGCAAAATAAATCAAAATTGGAGGGAACAATTTATAATTAAAGAGAATAAACAAAGACAAAACCAAAGAAAAATGAATTTATTTTATGTGTAGATAGTATTAATTAACTTGGAAGCAGGACAGGTGAGGGTCTCAAAACAGCGTAGCCTGGTTTTTTTTAAATAGCTCNGGTGGACAGAAGCAGCGAATAGCCATTGCACGAGCTATAGTGAGAAATCCCAAAATATTACTATTAGATGAGGCTACAAGTGCACTAGATGTTGAATCAGAGAGAGTTGTGCAAAATGCATTAAACCTAGTGAGGTTGAACCGTACAACAATAGTGGTGGCACATCGGTTGTCCACAATCAAGGGAGCGGATGTAATTGCTGTGGTTAAAAATGGAGTCATAGCAGAGAAAGGAAAGCACCAATCTCTCATCAACATCAAACACGGAATCTATGCCTCCTTCATTGCATATCATATGACGCCTCCATCATCTTAGTTTTTTTTATTTATTTTATTTTTTTAGACCTAATTTTATAACCAATTTTGTACATTTATTAGATCAGCCGTAAACTCCAATGTTAGGAAGGACTAGCTTTCCACCCAATTGCTATAATAAATTAGGATTCACTATGGATCTCACTTGATCTCAATTTCTTCTAAAAGGCAAAATTCCCCTTTATATTTATCTAATAAGTTATTTTTCTGTACGATTAGGTTAGAAAAAGTTAAAATTTGATAAAGAAAATCTTCAAATCAATTTCAATCACAGAAGAACATACCCAAATCAAACAAAAAAAAATGAAGCAGTGGAATTATTGAATAATTTCCGACGGTTGTGAGAGAAGAGAAAAGAGAAAGTACCTGTAGTTGCCTTGCTATTGCCACTACAATCGTGGTCTCACAGGTCTAGAATCTGAGAAGTAATCGCCAAGAGATGGTGATCTCGACTCTGGTGTGATGGATGGTAATAAGAGATGGAGATGAGAAGGAGGAGAGGGAAGATCGTGAGATCTCTCACTATGTTTGCTGCAACTAGAGGAAGACCATGAGATAATGACAGAAGGAGACGATGCCGGGCTTTGGGGACTCCGGCAAGGTGACGGAGACGCGAGAGAAACGAGTGCAAGTGTAGGGTTCCCGCTTAGGGCAAAATGCCCAAATTTCTGATTTTATAGGATTTGCACTGACCCGGTTCACATATTTTACGGGTTGATCCGACGGGTCGATCCGGGTCTGATAAATACGCCACACAGACAAGCAACCCCTGCCTAGCGAACATCCTCCGGCGCTGAACTCTAGCTTCTCTTCACCTTCCGGCGAAATCCCTACCCTCTGGCCAAAATAATTTTGTCCACCAACTCCCATAAATGTCGGGGGTTCTCCCTCTCTCTCATAAATCGGTCCACCTCCACGGTACAACCGTCGTTGCATCCAACCTTCTTCTTCATACTCATTTCCTTGCCCATGACGGTGGCAGATTTTTCACAAGAGCACAAACTCACGGAGATCCAGCTTCTTGGTATTCTAACCGTGGGCAGATATTTTTGCCCAATCTTTGAACCACTGTGTTCTTGAATTTAAAGGAGAAATAGAGAAATTGGGACCAAAACCCCAAGGAAGAAAGGTTAAGAGATTGCCTGATTTAAATCGTGAAAGAGATAAAGTATTGAAATTAATACATGAGGAAGGTAGTTGCAAAATAAATCAAAATTGGAGGGAACAATTTATAATTAAAGAGAATAAACAAAGACAAAACCAAAGAAAAATGAATTTATTTTATGTGTAGATAGTATTAATTAACTTGGAAGCAGGACAGGTGAGGGTCTCAAAACAGCGTAGCCTGGTTTTTTTTAAATAGCTCATTCAGTGGTGCATTTGGTATTACATACAACAGTACAATGTAACTCAAATTGATGACTCAAATTTGTATCTTAAATCGACAACTCAAATTTGTATCTTAAACGAAGAGAAACCATTAGATCAATAGATCTCATTTAAAAAAATTGATGAGATCATTCATCCAATGGTCTCCCTTAATTTGAGATTGTACAAATTTAGATTGCATAGTATTTCTCTTCTAAATATATAAAAATAAAATCAACAAAATCATTATAATAATATCACATTATTTAATCCCATTTTTTATCAGTCTAATATTACACGGTGCAATAAGAGAGGGCAGACAGCTTTCCAGAGGCATTAATAAGTTCAAATTAAATATTGTGGGCACTGAGATTGGGGCCTCATAACTATCCTATCCTATCCTATCCATTCTGCCCTCAAACTGCACCCTAAAGTTAGTGGTTTGTGTTGCGTTATACATAGTTGTCGTTTCCACGACGAGCATGTGTGTCCGCACACCTTGTGTTAGTGAGTGTGATGTGCTGGGAATCCATATGGAAACAAACTAATAAACCATAAATAAATAAAATATTGACAAGTTGGTTGGTTCCTTGAAAATCACATTCATATTCACGGCAAAACTAAACTAATCATCCTCTTCACTTTCATCACTGTAGGAAACCAGGCCACTATTAGAAACGACATGCAACACCTTACTATCCCCCATAGCAGATGTTCTCGCCGACTCCAATACCTTTTCTGTATCCACATCCACATTATTGGGTGTAGGTGTTTTCTTCGACTCTAAGATGTTTTCTGTATCAACATTATTGTGTTTTCCCACCGGATTTCCTCCACCAACAGTAATAGCTTCTCTCACCGCAACCAAAGATTTTTCTGAAGTTGCCTCATCCACCTTTGCTTTCTTTGCTTGTGCCTTGACTTTTATAATCGCCCCTAAAGGACGAGTCCGAGGATTTTTCCTCCCAACTAAAGTTTGCTCCTGCAAGACAAAAAACAGCATATACTGAGAAAATAAGGATCACTCCAGAACTTCCATCTCCCCCTCTCCCCCCCTCCCCCACCAAAACGCCGTGGCCGGTGGCCCTAACCAAAATTACAGCAAACATCAATACAAGATGCCTTAATCTTGGTTTCAAAAAAAATAACCTACTCCTAATTCCATCCATAAAATTTGTCACAAATATATCATAAAGTTTGCTTATGTTTTTCAGACCTTTCATAAACTCTAAACAATCAAAAATTTCTAGAACTTGTGGAAACTCTCATTAGCACAAAATATATTTCATTTACGTAACATTTTAATAAAACATCAGTTGATAGATTGAATATGTTCAGGCCTACACAACCAAGCCAATTAGTTTATAAGAAAACTAGCAATAATCAATGCCTTAAGACACTTTATAATACTAAAAATAGCGCATTGATCATGCAACATTTATATCTTAAATAATTATTTTTTATNCAACCCCTGCCTAGCGAACATCCTCCGGCGCTGAACTCTAGCTTCTCTTCACCTTCCGGCGAAATCCCTACCCTCTGGCCAAAATAATTTTGTCCACCAACTCCCATAAATGTCGGGGGTTCTCCCTCTCTCTCATAAATCGGTCCACCTCCACGGTACAACCGTCGTTGCATCCAACCTTCTTCTTCATACTCATTTCCTTGCCCATGACGGTGGCAGATTTTTCACAAGAGCACAAACTCACGGAGATCCAGCTTCTTGGTATTCTAACCGTGGGCAGATATTTTTGCCCAATCTTTGAACCACTGTGTTCTTGAATTTAAAGGAGAAATAGAGAAATTGGGACCAAAACCCCAAGGAAGAAAGGTTAAGAGATTGCCTGATTTAAATCGTGAAAGAGATAAAGTATTGAAATTAATACATGAGGAAGGTAGTTGCAAAATAAATCAAAATTGGAGGGAACAATTTATAATTAAAGAGAATAAACAAAGACAAAACCAAAGAAAAATGAATTTATTTTATGTGTAGATAGTATTAATTAACTTGGAAGCAGGACAGGTGAGGGTCTCAAAACAGCGTAGCCTGGTTTTTTTTAAATAGCTCATTCAGTGGTGCATTTGGTATTACATACAACAGTACAATGTAACTCAAATTGATGACTCAAANAAATTGATTTGTATCTTAAATCGACAACTCAAATTTGTATCTTAAACGAAGAGAAACCATTAGATCAATAGATCTCATTTAAAAAAATTGATAAGATCATTCATCCAATGATCGCCCTTAATTTGAGATTGTACAAATTTAGATTGCATAGTATATNGTATCTTAAACGAAGAGAAACCATTAGATCAATAGATCTCATTTAAAAAAATTGATGAGATCATTCATCCAATGGTCTCCCTTAATTTGAGATTGTACAAATTTAGATTGCATAGTATTTCTCTTCTAAATATATAAAAATAAAATCAACAAAATCATTATAATAATATCACATTATTTAATCCCATTTTTTATCAGTCTAATATTACACGGTGCAATAAGAGAGGGCAGACAGCTTTCCAGAGGCATTAATAAGTTCAAATTAAATATTGTGGGCGCTGAGATTGGGGCCTCATAACTATCCTATCCTATCCTATCCATTCTGCCCTCAAACTGCACCCTAAAGTTAGTGGTTTGTGTTGCGTTATACATAGTTGTCGTTTCCACGACGAGCATGTGTGTCCGCACACCTTGTGTTAGTGAGTGTGATGTGCTGGGAATCCATATGGAAACAAACTAATAAACCATAAATAAATAAAATATTGACAAGTTGGTTGGTTCCTTGAAAATCACATTCATATTCACGGCAAAACTAAACTAATCATCCTCTTCACTTTCATCACTGTAGGAAACCAGGCCACTATTAGAAACGACATGCAACACCTTACTATCCCCCATAGCAGATGTTCTCGCCGACTCCAATACCTTTTCTGTATCCACATCCACATTATTGGGTGTAGGTGTTTTCTTCGACTCTAAGATGTTTTCTGTATCAACATTATTGTGTTTTCCCACCGGATTTCCTCCACCAACAGTAATAGCTTCTCTCACCGCAACCAAAGATTTTTCTGAAGTTGCCTCATCCACCTTTGCTTTCTTTGCTTGTGCCTTGACTTTTATAATCGCCCCTAAAGGACGAGTCCGAGGATTTTTCCTCCCAACTAAAGTTTGCTCCTGCAAGACAAAAAACAGCATATACTGAGAAAATAAGGATCACTCCAGAACTTCCATCTCCCCCTCTCCCCCCCTCCCCCACCAAAACGCCGTGGCCGGTGGCCCTAACCAAAATTACAGCAAACATCAATACAAGATGCCTTAATCTTGGTTTCAAAAAAAATAACCTACTCCTAATTCCATCCATAAAATTTGTCACAAATATATCATAAAGTTTGCTTATGTTTTTCAGACCTTTCATAAACTCTAAACAATCAAAAATTTCTAGAACTTGTGGAAACTCTCATTAGCACAAAATATATTTCATTTACGTAACATTTTAATAAAACATCAGTTGATAGATTGAATATGTTCAGGCCTACACAACCAAGCCAATTAGTTTATAAGAAAACTAGCAATAATCAATGCCTTAAGACACTTTATAATACTAAAAATAGCGCATTGATCATGCAACATTTATATCTTAAATAATTTTTTTTTTTTAATTATGCAATTTAAAATTAAAGTGGACAACGAGAAAATAAGAGAGGTAGCAGCGGGAGAAGGAAGAGAGAGTGACAGAGAAAGAGAAAGAGNATTTTTTATTTTTAATTATGCAATTTAAAATTAAAGTGGACAACGAGAAAATAAGAGAGGTAGCAGCGGGAGAAGGAAGAGAGAGTGACAGAGAAAGAGAAAGAGAGAAGTGTGGATTAATAAGATTGTATGATATTGGGAGCGGAGAAGATGCTTTTGGGTGGGAAAAAGTTTTTTGGAATGAAATTTGTAACGTTAGATGAAGATTAGATCAATGTTACCTGAATCATGGGTCATTTTGGTACGTGGTACAGATACACGATACGATAAGAGTAGGCTTAGTTAGTACGATATTTTGAATTACAATTCGTTTTAGAATTCTTATGTAAATCGTTTTCATTATTATATAACATTATATATTATAGAATATCCATAAATACTAAGTCAGTTACCATTTATCTTATAATTGTGCTTGATTTTCTATTATCTAAAATAGTATATAATTATAAATCTATATACATGTAGTCAATTAATACATATTTTATATTTGTTCTAAAGCGAATTGATTTATGATTAGTATTACAATTTAAGGTCGCCCATTTTGATAATCTGGATCGAAAATTCACCCCGTTTGGGATCTATGCACCCAGATCGTGGGTCGTTAAGAGTTTAATAAATTATGGTAAATCATGAATTAAATTGATTTCAACCGTTGTTGTGTTTTTATAAATGTACAATTCAAATCACTGTCTCATTTCCTGAGACTCGTGAGTGCGGAAATATAGAAAACACGTGAGTAACACAGACACAGAACGATAGAAAATTGATTGGCAACCAACCTCGACTTTGGGAGCAGGGGGCGTCTCCTTAAGCTCGTGTACAATAGTGGACTGTGCTGCCACCGCTGCCTAAGAAGAATACAAAAGGTAAAATGAACACTGGCGAACAATAATTACGAGTATGCAACATCCTATGACTAAGAGTCATATAAATACATGTAGCTGAACAGATTTATTCATTGATAGATATTCCATACTGTTAAATACTTCTTAATGAATGCTTCTGCAGCTCTGGAAACTTGGACACATTTACTTACAAAAACATCATCAATGAAAGTATTAAACACCAGAACACATCATTTTTCGTTCATCCTTGCGTTACGCGCCACATATATAGGGGTGTCAAAATGTGCAAACTTCCAAACCATGACCGTCCAATTGATTTATAGAATCACTAGACTTTAGCAAGGGGAAGCATTGTCCTCATGAAATCAGATTATTACCCATTTAAAACACCCAACTCATCAAAAACCACGCTAGTATATGCCACATTTTGTACACAAGTGCTGGTCTTTCTGGCATAGATTGCGGTCCTACGTATAAATCTTCACTGAGATAGCTCCAACCCACAAATATGCGTCCTATCATATGGTGCGTATGTCTTATCATCTACATGTCGAGCAACTTCTTAGCACATTCCTACGGTATTTTTTCACTACTTGAACATGATATTGCCGAAAAGCGGAACTATAGCTGATTGCTCACTGTTAAATGACTCACCTACATCTACATGCAGATCAAGAAACTTCTTCGATACATAATAACCTAATAGCAATTGAACATCTCAGAATAGAAAATTACTTGGAAACCCTGCAGCAGTTGGGCTTCTTCATCTGCCATTTGCCGTTCGAGTTCTCTCCTTGACTTCATGAAGAGCAACAAGTTCAGACTAGTAAAGGCAACAATAGAAAGGAAAAGGCACCAACAACTTGGAAGGTACAATATCACATTATATTCATTTTTATACAAAACCCATCAAGCATGAAACAATCTTGTGATCAAATAATAACTGAACTCCTAAAACAAGCACTATCCATAACACAGTTTAACCAAATAAAACTCATGTATAGCAACCCCAAAAAATTTATACAGCGTGTCTAAGCACCTCAATGATCTACGTATAGTCCAAATGCTCACAAGTCATAACTGCGTCTTCTATAATGGGCTCTTTACATGTAACATATACCAGCGAATTATCCACTAATGGTACAAAGATCCAAAGTGGCGATTGATTGGGTTTTTTCCCCCTTTTTTAGTTGGTTGGGGATGTGATTATAAAGATTAGCACCCATAGACAGTGAAAATAATTTTAAATGACACTTGTAGTTTTAAAAATCAGAAAAGGGGGGTCATTCCAATTACAGAAGATAGAATTTATGCTCAGATTTTCTTTCAGATATATAAGTGTGAGGGACAAATCATATGTGATCCTCCAGAAAACCTAAAGTAGCTACATCCAGTTCTATGAATCAAGCTCCTTATACCACTACAAGAGATAGAGTAAGGACTAACCACTTGGAAGCATTAGTGCATTATTTTTAAAGAACTCAATCAAATGCGTTCACGGTACATGCAAGAGTACCACATATAGCTTACTTGGGAGTGCAGCTTAAATTATTAACTTATAACTATGATTTCTAATTAAGGAGGTGTAGGAACACTAGTATTAAATGACCTTCGGGGATGAAAATTTTCTAATGATATCCAAAAATAAATATGCAGACTCTTTTCGAGAGGTGGAGGGAGGAACTATGTGCTTCAGGACATCATGACTAAGTTACCCCTTTCTTAATATCATTCATAATGTCCAATATCAGAACCACCTACCGCTGGTTTCTCCATATACATAAAGATAAAGATAAGTATATATATACTCAACTCAACAAAAGCCTTTATTTGTGGTCGGTTACATGAATCTTGTATCTATTAATCAAACACATGGACCTAAGTAGCTGAATGGTCATGCCTAGACTTTATGGAGTTGTTATATCAACCATTTTGCGCCCATGTTAAAGCATTCGGTGCTTGCGTCATTTTTTTATGTAAAGTTGCAAAAGATTGCATCAACACCAATTTGACTTAGTTTTCAATACTGTCATACCCAGTAAATCAATAGTTGAAAACATGGTCTCACCATCTCTAGTTTATCAAGAAACTCAGTCTCATCTTCATCCAAAGCTTTCGGTGGTCCTGCAACAAAAATGAGTGGTTAAATTGCATTCTCACAAAATGTTCCTTAAAAAACAGCAATGAACGCCTAATCCACTCAGTCTCCATGTAAGAAAAACAAGCAAATCATCAACAAACTGCCATTTACAAGAAGACCGGTTGACAAGATAGACGTTTGACAGCAATCACAAGGAGGACAACAAAAACACATGGCTGTAGTGAAGAGATAGAGCCTTGGTAAACAAAACAGAGTGCTACAATCCGAAGAAATAAAAGACATAAAATGACATCTTCTTAGCAACTTAGCATGATCTACTCTTAGGATCCAAGTACCACGGCTGAACTTTATCCTTATCACCAGCATATGTATCAAACATGGCTGCCCTAAACAATTTCCAGGGAAAATTTCTGGGCCTCAGCACTTACTATGCTTAAACCGCTCATTGAATTCCGCATCACGTTTATCCTTATTCTCCTTCAAAATCTGCATTTAGAAAAATGAGAAAAAACTCAAAATGAGTAATGTTTTTGAAATCAATGCATCAGAAGAATCTGTCTTGACTTTCAGGTGCATTAAAATATCTGTCTTGGGTTTCACATAATGCATGCATGTTTCACCTGAAAACAAATATATACTGATGATCAAAATTAGCATGCAATTCATAAGTACATATTTCAAGAGTTAAGCCCTGGTCATTAGCATATTTTCAAGTTTCAACAAAACAATGCATCTTACATCTCCCAAAAAGCCAGTCCCCATTAGCAGAGATGATGCAATGAACCATATAATGAGGGTAACTAAAAACAAAACATTAGTAAATTTGTCTAATATTAGTACTTTATTAATATTAAATAAATTGCTTTGTTTCTCATAAAAAAAAAAAAAATAAAAGACAAAATATTTTTGCTCTTCCATCACAAAACATTTTTCTCTAATGGCATATAACACAAGAATGGTCATACAAAGGGTGCCAAGTTATCCCAATTAAATCACAGTGAATGTTTCTACATGGAACCAAATTCAATGCATACTCCAATTTCTTATGTTATGTTTCTGATTTTTGGGCATGTATATTTGTCGGTGTTTAGCCGACCACAAAAACGTTGAGTTGAGTATATTTGCTGTTGTTAGACTCTTAAAACAAATAAGTTGGGTTTGTAATTTCAAAGCAACACAAAATTTAACCACCAGAAGTTTAATATCTTGTCTGATAGAGACTCTAGGGACATAAAAGGGAAAAAAAAAATCAATACCTTGTCAAAGGAGTCACAAAATTTATAGTTCTAGACGCAAGCTTCAGATAAATGATTTGCCTAAACTCTCAGACATCTTGGGGAATGGTGCCTCGGCAGCATGGTTCTCGACCTTATTTTTTATTTTTCAATTTTAAAGCACTGATTGAACATTAGACCTGAGCGCCAAAAAGTTGACCAATCTCATAGTTGAACCAAAACCCAAATTTGTACAGTTATCAATCTGATGGGCTGCGACAGTGCAAGGATTATATGATTTGATCTTTACCCTGTAATTCAATATTGTATAGTTTGTCATATGTATTCTCAATATCTTCAAATTATATTTGGGATTACATGTTTCGAATGTGATATTGGGCATATAAAAAATAAACTTCAATACATTAATTTAAGTTAAGTTAACCGTCGATTTCTCAACCTGGGGATTGAATAGGGCTATTTTGCAACCATTCACGACTCACGAGTGGTATTGGAAAGATGTGGAAAGGAAAGTTGGGGTGCTCTAAGCATGTTATGCTATTGAAGGGGGGAGGGAGTGCAACTGCAAAATGATAAAGGAGATTTGGAGAATAAAACCTCATATAGGGGCCTCTCTCTCAGGGCAGTGCCATCATCAACTCGTGCACCTCGATTTCTCCTAGCTTCCTCTAACTGCCATTAAATCCAGCCAAAAAAAATAGAAATAAAGGATGCATGAGAATGTTTAGAAATGCATTTTTTAAAAAAACAAAAGAAGTACCTGTTCTTGTGAGACGAAATTCATCAACCTCGTTGGAGGAGCAAAACCGTCATCGGCCATCTCTCAAAACTCAATTTCAAACAATAATAAGATCAGTAGCTGGCTTCCTCGCTCCCAATGGTAGATTGACTATTCGTTTGCAGATACGCCAGGACGCTATTCTCTTTGCCCCTATTGCCAGTTATCCTTTGCTTGCTCTCCTCCACACTACAAATAAGATGCATTCATAGGTTTCATGTCAACACCAACTTTGTTTGCTCGGGCCATCCAGTTTTCATGGATCCTTGTACGGTTGGGTATTAAAATATATTTTTAGTGGAATCTATCTATCTAATAAAGAGCTAGCACTTTCAATTTTATCCTTGTATATATTTTTCGCTCATTTCTATCACATCACCCATTCCTATTACAAGTTGAATCATTTAATTTATAATTAATTTGTGGCTTAATACAATTTTTATTTCAAACGTCTATCTATATATATAAAATAAATATTTTTTGGGTGAGAGGACTTGAGAAGTCTTCACTTCCCAAATGATAAATTTCTAGATTTTTTAAATATTTAATTAAACCCTTCCAATCAAATTATTCCATTTAGTTTATTTAACTACTTTCATCTTCGTTTTGCCTTTGTGCTGCTTTAAGAGCAAAATTCTTCATCTTTTTTTTTTCAGCAATGCTATTTAGAACTAATTTTACCCAATTTTGTACATTTTTTAGATCAATTTTAAGTTCCAAAGTTATGAAGGACTAGCTTTCCACCCAATTGCTATCATAATTAGGTTTCAAAATTATGTACAAATAACATTCTCCAAGCTTTTCCCCTTCAAAAATATATATGAATGAATGTCAATTACGTACCCCTCAAATTTTGACTGATGTTGCTATTAGCACCCTTATGTTTTAATTTCAACAATTTACCCCCACCCCCCAAATTAAAAGATTTTCAATTAACTCATCCGTTAATTTGTTACCGTCAAAAGTGACAAAAAAATTAACCTCCATATGGATCTCACTTGATCGCAAATTCGTTTAAAAGGCAATATTACCCTTTTATCTTTATCTAATAAGTTATTTTCTTTCAATCACAGAAGAACATACCCAAATCAAACAAAAAAAAACATGAAGCAGTGGAATTATTGAATAACTTCCGACGGTTGTGAGAGCATAGAAAAGAGAAAATACCTGTTGTTGCCTTGCTATTGCCACTCAATCTTCGTCTCACAGGTCTAGAATCTGAGAAGTACTCGCCCAGAGATGGTGGTCTGGACTCTGGTGTGATGGATGGTAATAANTTTCTTTCAATCACAGAAGAACATACCCAAATCAAACAAAAAAAAACATGAAGCAGTGGAATTATTGAATAACTTCCGACGGTTAGAAAATACCTGTTGTTGCCTTGCTATTGCCACTCAATCGTCGTCTCACAGGTCTAGAATCTGAGAAGTACTCGCCCAGAGATGGTGGTCTGGACTCTGGTGTGATATTTGGTAATCAGAGATGCAGATGAGAAGGAAGAGAAGAGAGGGAAGACCGTGAGATCGCTGGCTATGTTTGCTGCAACTAGAAGAAAACCATGAGATAATGACAGAAGCAGACGATGCCGGGCTTTGAGGACTCCGGCGAGGTGACTGAGACGTGAGAGAAACGAGTTGAGATTCGGAGAGACAGAGAGGCTGAGAAAGAAGTTCACGATTAGGGCAAAAATGCCCAAAAATTCCGATTTTGTAGGATTTGCACTGACCCGGCTCACCGATTTTACGTGTTGACCCGTTGGGCCGATTCGGTTCTGATAATTATGCCCCACAGACAAGCAACCCTCTGCCTAACGAACATCCGCGAAAGCCCTTCGAAACACGTATATTGTCGAACGGTAGGTTATGTCTACGATGTGTATTTTGAGATTTACCGTTATATTAGTTATTGTTTGTGTTTGAATATACAGAGTAATAAAAAATTATAAATAATAAATATATTTGTTTTCATATTTAAAATCAAATTACATACATAAATGAGAGATAAATGAATTTAAACATCGATTAAAGTAAAGTGAGAGGTGGTGGAGAGCAGTGATAATGGTAAGAGACGGTAATAATTGTGATAGGTGGCAATGACGGTGATGGTGACGACAACGATAGTGGTGGTGGTGGTGGTGACGGCGATGACGACAGTGAGGGTGATGATGGTGGGGTGGCGACAGCGGTNCTTTGAGGACTCCGGCGAGGTGACTGAGACGTGAGAGAAACGAGTTGAGATTCGGAAAGACAGAGAGGCTGAGAAAGAAGTTCACGATTAGGGCAAAAATGCCCAAAAAATCCGATTTTGTAGGATTTGCACTGACCCGGCTCACCGATTTTACGTGTTGACCCGTTGGGCCGATTCGGTTCTGATAATTATGCCCCACAGACAAGCAACCCTCTGCCTAACGAACATCCGCGAAAGCCCTTCGAAACACGTATATTGTCGAACGGTAGGTTATGTCTACGATGTGTATTTTGAGATTTACCGTTATATTAGTTATTGTTTGTGTTTGAATATACAGAGTAATAAAAAATTATAAATAATAAATATATTTATTTTCATATTTAAAATCAAATTACATACATAAATGATAGATAAATGAATTTAAACATCGATTAAAGTAAAGTGAGAGGTGGTGGAGAGCAGTGATAATGGTAAGAGACGGTAATAATTGTGATAGGTGGCAATGACGGTGATGGTGACGACAACGATAGTGGTGGTGGTGGTGGTGACGGCGATGACGACAGTGAGGGTGATGATGGTGGGGTGGCGACAGCGGTGGTGGTGGTGATGGCGGCGACAACGACGACACTAGTGATAGAGATAAAAATAGTGGTGGTGGTGATAGAGATAGTGGAAGGACAATTTCAAACACTTTTTTTTTTTAAATACTTATGAGAAATAGTTCTTAAAAGTACTTTTAAACAATCACTCTGAATATACCCTTATGGACCTATTTTTTCTATTAAATTTAAGGTGTTAATATTAGCCGTTAGATTAACTTTAAAGTAAAATTTAAAGTGATCTAAACTGCGAAAAATAAAAGTCATTTTATTTATTTTTAAAAATTTGAATTATAAGCTACTTTATTATATATACTAGTTATTATCTGTGACTAAAGGCACAGAGTAATAAAAAATAAAAAATAAAAAATATATTTGTATTTATATCCAAAATCAAATCATAAATATAAATTAGAGATAAATAAATTTAAGTATCCGTTATAGTAGAGTGAGAGGTGGTGGTAAGAGACAGTGATGATTATGGTGGGTGGCAATGACCATGGTGGTAGTGGTGGTAGCGGAGGCAGCGATGGGGATGATGGTGGTGGTGGTGGTGGTAGTGGTGATGATAGTGGAAAGATAGGGGTGGTATTAGGACAATTTTAAACACTATTTTTAAAAAATAATAATAATGATAAATAATTTCTACAAATATTTTTAAAAAATCACTCTAAACACACCATTAGGGCCCTATTTTTTTTTATGAAATTTAGGGCGTTAATATTAACCGTTAGATTAACTTTAAAGTGAAATTTAAAGCGATTTAAACTGCGAAAAATAAAAATCATTTTGTTTATCTTTTGAAATTTTAATTGTAAGTTATTTTATTATATATACTAGTTATTGTCTGTACCTGAAGACACAAAGTAGTAAAAAATGGTAAACAATAAACATATTTGTATTCATATCCAAAATTAAATCACAAACATATAGAAGAGATAAATGAATTTAAGCGGCGGTTGTAGTGGGGGTGAGAAGTAGTGGGCGGCAGTGGTAGTGGTAGAAGACGATGATGGTTGTGGTGGGTGGCAATGACGGTGGTGGCGAGCGATGGCGATAGTGATGGTGGTGGAGGGCGACGACGGTGGCAGCGGCAACGGTGGTGGTAGAGATAGTAGTGAGACGGTTTCAAACATTATTTTTTTAAAAATACTTATGAGAAATAATTTTTATAAGTACTTTTAAAAAATCACTTCAAACACACCCATTTGGGCCTTATTTTTCCTATTAAATTTAGGTTGTTAATATTAGCCGTTATATTAAATTTAAAATAAAATTTAAAGCGATGTGAACAGCAAAAAACAAAAATCATTTTGTTTATTTTTAAAATTTAAATTGTAATTTACTTTAGTTACCACAATATATACATATTACGGACATAAATTTTGATCAATTTAAAATATTATATAAGAAGTTGTAAATTTTAGCTACATATCTAAGATAACCGGCTCTTGTTTACTATGAGTTATCTCGGTAGAATCGTTATATCCTTCAAGTACCCAAGTATTTTTGTGAATTGTAAATCATTGTTCTAGATAAATTTGAAATATCTCAAAATCCCAATTATTGTTTTTCAGTAATTTTTTTTTCATAATTACTTGTATATTAATGTAGCTTACTTATAAAATATATTATATTCCGATAGGTACAATTCATGATATACATTATATTATCTATTATACGTACATATTTTAACTAAGATATATTTTCGCCATTATTTTTAGAAATATGAATATTAACATCAATAGGTGTTTTGTATTTTTTATCTTCTACTTCTCAAGCTTATCAAATATTTTATAAATATAGTGATTGAGATAACGTGGGTCTATCTCATGTTATACAAATTTTAATTCTCAATATAATGTTAACAACACTAACGTCTTTTATTCCAAAATTTTTGACTAACATTCATTTAGTAGCTTTAATAGTATCATTATTGCTATTTATAATTAGTATATCACTTACATAAAAAACATACAAAAATATATTCACTTTAAGTGCTCTTCATATATACATATTTGTCACACTCATTTATTTTAAATCCATTTAACAACATTGTTTTGTCAAATTTATTGTTTTACTACTTTTGTTATTATTTTAATCCATAAAGATATTTAACAAGTTTTCAAACTTTATATTTTATTGTCCATTAGCACATGGATCATTCAGCTTATTCTATGTATATTTATTTATCTAATTCACCATTTTAAGAATGTTGTTTTTACATTCATTTGATGTATCTCAAAATTATTCAAAATAGTTATAGCAATTAGTATTCGTATGAATATTATTATAGTAACTGGTGGATAAATATTGAAATAATTCAATCATTCTGATTGCTTGTAACTTTCCGCTAAAAAAAAATTTGTACTTTGTAAATTAATTAATCAATTTTCATTTTATTTTTATGATTTATTTATAGTTTAAAGGTTTGTTAGTTGGAATAATATTCACCAACTCTCATTTATGATTTCTCACAATTGGGTTAAGAATATAATTAACATTTAGTAAGACAGGCCTACAAGTTTTATGATACACTCAAATTTGATAGCATAGAATTCGTCATTTATTTTAATGTTCGATTTTTGCGTTCAATTAAACCATTTAATTGTGGCGAATAAGGGGCAATCGTTTATCGAATAATTCTATGTATTGAACAAAACTTATCAAAAGAAGATTTATTCACCTCCCCTGTCATTTTTCAATTTCTTAATTTTTCAGATAGTTATGGTGTCTTGCTTTTGTTGTTCAACTTGCATGAATGCTTTTATTTGTTGTTATGAAATGTGATGAGCCCATATTTTACTAAGTCAAACCCAATTAATTAAATAGGCCCAAATTAACTACAAGGCAGGCCAAACTCAACTTATAGATTCAACCTGATCTAGAGTTCAAGAAGATTAGCGCATGTAGGAGAGCAATTGTTGGGGTAGCCACTCTCCAAGATTGAGACTATCTCTAATTGTACCAATTGTAGTTATCTTTCCCGAAAAGCAAATAACCTACTTATCACGTCATTAACTCAACCAAAGATTTGTGCCTATAAATTGTAAGTCTTCTACACATGAGAGACACTTTTTACACACCAGCATCTCTCTTTACACATTCCAACACAAGCTATCTCTCTCATAGCCACCAAGAGCATACCCTTGCTCTCTCACTCACCTGCTACTTCATCAATAAAAATCACTAGTCATCATTGTAGTCTTCAAAGTTGAGTAAGTCACCTTGACTACTATACAACTGTGTGTTACTTGTGTTGGTTAAATATTTGTCTCATTCATTAATTGATTTATTGATTGTTTTATTAATTATCATAAATCATACACTCGACTGTTGATTAAGCATAAACCTATTTTGTGCATTATCAAAACGAATATATTTTTTATGGGCAAGATTGAAATCATNGTGATAGGTGGCAATGACGGTGATGGTGACGACAACGATAGTGGTGGTGGTGGTGACGACGGCGATGACGACAGTGAGGGTGATGATGGTGGGGTGGCGACAGCGATGGTGGTGGTGATGGCGGCGACAACGACGACACTAGTGATAGTGATAAAAATAGTGGTGGTGGTGATAGAGATAGTGGAAGGACAATTTCAAACACTTTTTTTTTTAAATACTTTTGATAAATAGTATTTTACTAAGTCAAACCCAATTAATTAAATAGGCCCAAATTAACTACAAGGCAGGTCAAACTCAACTTATAGATTCAACTTGATCTAGAGTTCAAGAAGATTAGCGCATGTAGGAGAGCAATTGTTGGGGTGGCCACTCTCCAAGATTGAGACTATCTCTAATTGTACCAATTGTAGTTATCTTTCTCGAAAAGCAAATAACCTACTTATCACGTCATTAACTCAACCAAAGATTTGTGCCTATAAATTGAAAGTTTTCTACACATGAGAGACACTTTTTACACACCAGCATCTCTCTTTACACATTCCAACACAAGCTATCTCTCTCATAGCCACCAAGAGCATACCCTTGCTCTTTCACTCACCTGCTACTTCATCAATAAAAATCACTAGTCATCATTGTAGTCTTCAAAGTTGAGTAAGTCACCTTGACTACTATACAATTGTGTGTTACTTGTGTTGGTTAAATATTTGTCTCATTCATTAATTGATTTATTGATNTTGTGTGTTACTTGTGTTGGTTAAATATTTGTCTCATTCATTAATTGATTTATTGATTGCTTTATTAATTATCATGAATCATACACTCGACTGTTGATTAACCATAAGCCTATTTTGTGCATTATCAAAACGAATATATTTTTTATGGGCAAGATTGAAATCATCATCGTGCATGCATCTTAAACCCAGTTAAATATCTTCGGTTATAAAACCGGAGATCTATCCAATTTGTTGTAGAAAATAAGCTCCATAATTTGATTGTTATGTTAAAAGTATGAGAGTGAGATTATTCGATTTCACTTAAATTCAATATTTATTTTATTGTGTTCTTGTTGTGTAGATTAAAATTCATAAATAAATTTTTTATTTGTTGAGTTTATTATTTTTGATATATATTTATAAATTTAAATAAAATGTTTTAACTAAATTATTAAAATTTAATTAATTAAATATAATTTATTATTGTTCGCTATGTTTATTGAGTGTGCTTGTGGGAGAGAATAGAGAAAGAAATTAAGGAACGAGATACAAAAATTTAAATAATTGACTTAATTAGGAGTAATTTTGTCTAAATGTTGGTTGGATCTAAAGCCCAAAAAAATCCCAAATGTGGACCTTTGGCATGTTTACCATATAGAAAATTCAATTAAGTTGATCTGACTTAGCATTAAAAGTACAAAAGCTTGGTCTTAGTTTACTATTTGGGGGTGNTTAAGTTGATCTGACTTAGCATTAAAAGTACAAAAGCTTGGTCTTAGTTTACTATTTGGGGGTGTTTGGATCAAGGTGAGAGAATTGAGTTCAATTGAATTTGAATTCGAATTCAATCTAATTCAATGCAAAGTAGTCCGGGTTGATTCATTTTTAACGAATGTTATCTCATCTCTATATAGGGAACATTTATTTTGCGGACCCCATTTACATGTGTATATGAAAAATAGTAAAATGACTATTGCACCATTTGTAAAAAAATCTAATTGAATCCTTTACCAACTCTAGATTGATAATTAATTAGGATGATTAGGTTTTTTTTTTTAACAAAATTATAATTTTTCATAAATTGCATTTTTTAACAATACAAAGTCGAAATATTTTTGTTTAANTGTTTGGATCAAGGTGAGAGAATTGAGTTCAATTGAATTTGAATTCGAATTCAATCCAATTCAATGCAAAGTAGTCCGGGTTGATTCATTTTTAACGAATGTTATCTCATCTCTGTATAGGGAACATTTATTTTGCGGACCCCATTTACATGTGTAGATGAAAAATAGTAAAATGACTATTGCACCATTTGTAAAAAAATCTAATTGAATCCTATACCAACTCTAGATTGATAATTAATTAGGATGATTAGGTTTTTTTTTTTTTAACAAAATTATAATTTTTCATAAATTGCATTTTTTAACAATACAAAGTCGAAATATTTTTGTTTAAATTTTTTTATTGAATTTTTTTGGTACACATAATTCACCACAAAGTCATATGAATTGCCCATCATAACTAAATGTACAACACATACAAATTGTCGTGTGAAAATTCTACTTATCGGAAAATTACAAACTCACCTATCCGATTGATCAAACAATATTTTCTTCTCTAATCCCAAAAAAAAATAAAAAATCAACATAAAAAAAAACTTTATCACACCAATCAACAAAAAAAATAAATAGTTCTCTCAATAAATCTCAACATAAAAATTCGAGTTCCTCTCGTAATATTTTCAACAATACAAAATTCTAGCTAATATTCAGATAAAATCGATCTACATATTTGGTTTTTTGTGTTTATTGTGGAATAAAGANCATACAAATTGTCGTGTGAAAATTCTACTTATCGGAAAATTACAAACTCACCTATCTGATTGATCAAACAATATTTTCTTCTCTAATCCCAAAACAAAACAAAAAATCAACATAAAAAAAACTTTATCACACCAATCAACAAAAAAAATAAATAGTTCTCTCACTAAATCTCAACATAAAAATTCGAGTTCCTCTCATAATATTTTCAACAATACAAAATTCTAGCTAATATTCAGATAAAATCGATCTACAGATTTGGTTTTTGTGTTTATTGTGGAATAAAGAGAGAGAAAACATCTCATAGGTGAACTTGATCTCCAAACTCAATCTACGCATGTCAACATCTAAAAAATTAGATAAAAAGTAACTTGAACAGGACATAGGGACTTTTAATTTTGATCAACCAAATCAAGGAATATTGTTAACAAAGAAATATCAAATAATAGTACATAGACAGCCACTCACATGTGCAAATGTACACACAATCAAAAATTAATATATATGTATAAACGAGNACATCTCATAGGTGAACTTGATCTCCAAACTCAATCTACGCATGTCAACATCTAAAAAATTAGATAAAAAGTAACTTGAACAGGACATAGGGACTTTTAATTTTGATCAACCAAATCAAGGAATATTGTTAACAAAGAAATATCAAATAATAGTACATAGACAACCGCTCACATGTGCAAATGTACACACAATCAAAAATTAATATATATGTATAAACGAGAGAGAGTGAGGCAAAGGTGATGACGGACACATAAATCAAGACTTGAGTCGACTATGTTGCCATTACAATCATGGGCAAAAATCTGAAACCGACTTTCCTCAAAAAATCGTGTTGTAGAAAATCACTTACCATTAGAATTTAGGAGAGGGGGGAGAGGGGGGGGGGAAAAAGAGAAACACAGTGAAAGGGAGAAAGATAGAGGGAAACAGACTAGGTCTGGTCGCCGGAGGCTACTTGCTAATCGCCGTCAGTAGTTGCCAAAGATAGAAGATACAAAAATGTGTAGACGGTCGNAGGAGAGGGGGGAGAGAGAGGGGGGAAAAAGAGAAACACAGTGAAAGGGAGAAAGATAGAGGGAAACAGACTAGGTTTGGTCGCCGGAGGCTACTTGCTAATCGCCGTCAATAGTTGCCAAAGATAGAAGATACAGAAATGTGTAGACGGTCGATGGATTGAGAGAGAGAGCATACCTGGGTTTTGTGCTCAACTATTGGAGGTGGTGAGATTTGTTTAAGGGCACAAAGGTAAAATCACCATTAATTCTTTTGGTACTATTATCCGTGTAGCTGAATTTCACATAACCCGTGGGTTTGAAAAATACGGTTCATATGGGATAAATCCAAGTATTTACTTCGGGCCAAGTTTTGAACCCAACGTGTACTGATCAATTTTTTTTTATCCAAACTTTCCCCTTAGATATTTTTAACCCAATCCCCCATGTTATTCCCACTTATCCTATCAAACAAACACCCCTTTGGGTTCGAAATAAATTGGGATGCAAATCCGATCCATCCGTTAACACGATCCACGATGGAGATTTCCTTGGATCGTAGTATATCGGAATCACAGGTCAATGGTAAGTATTGCCTCGCCAGCTTTGCACACGGTGAAAGTGAAGTACTAAAGGAGCAGTAGTAACTAGTAAGTAGATGTTGTTCCCGTCTGCGGCACTTCGCTTCGCTAGCCAAGACAGAAAGCCGAAGACAGGAAGGAGTTGAGAAGGTCATTCTTTTTGTACCATAACCCAACCCAACCCAACCCAATTCGCGTAGAAACGAATCGAATTGTGTTCAGATCTTCACTAATTTCTCCAACACTCTGTACGCTTTCTTCTCACTTTATCGGGTATGCGAGATTTGTTATCCATCTCAAATTGTTGATGTCTGCCTCCATTTTATTTTATTGTACTCTTTAATTTTTTTTTATCCATGTGCGAGTAAACCCTAGATTTTTCATTTTCATTGTTAGATNTCTGTACGCTTTCTTCTCACTTTATCGGGTATGCGAGATTTGTTATCCATCTCAAATTGTTGATGTCTGCCTCCATTTTATTTTATTGTACTCTTTAATTTTTTTTTTATCCATGTGCGAGTAAACCCTAGATTTTTCATTTTCATTGTTAGATTTCACAATCTGGAACCATGATCATCTGGAATAATCCTAATTCGGGGTCTCCATCATAACCGTTTTTATATGTTAAACTGAAGCTGCTATCGGAAAGGTGAAAATTTGGGGCCTCTTTCTGTGGGGGGTAAGGAGCTGTTTATCGCACCTACTTGGGTATTATTGTTTTCGTCTCNTCACAATCTGGAACCATGATCATCTGGAATAATCCTAATTCGGGGTCTCCATCATAACCGTTTTTATATGTTAAACTGAAGCTGCTATCGGAAAGGTGAAAATTTGGGGCCTCTTTCTGTGAGGGTTAAGGAGCTGTTTATCGCACCTACTTGGGTATTATTGTTTTCGTCACAAGCGAAACCCATTCTTGTTTATTTTTCTGTCGGGGTTTTAGGTTGCTGGGTTTTGCTTTGTCATTTTAATTATATACCCCTTATTTTATCTGCGTTTAGATTAATATCTTGGTGCTAATGCACATCAGTGTTGCGTAGGGTTTTTTTTATCTTCCTTTCTTTCACATGTCTGCATAATTTCATTTGAAATTCGTTTGTTATCATCTCCTGAGTGCGGTTTGAGAATTTATCCTGGCCAAGGGTTTCAGATTCTCTGCCAATCAAAAACCTTTCCTTTGTATAATTTTCTTGGAATTTATTGTGGGTTTCAATTTTTCTTGGTTTTCATTTAAGGGTTCTTGAATAAAGTTTTAGTTTCCATGGCCAATCCACCTCATTCATCTGGTGGATATTCCGTCACCCTCGCTCCATCTGACCTGGACTTGTCAACAACCCGCCCAGAGACAAAGTTGAGCCCTCATCCTTTCCCTTCATCATCAGGGCCCAGATTTCCACTGCCACCAGTAGTGCAACCAAACCAGATTCCTTCTCCATCTATTAAGACCCCAAACTTACCTTCACCAGCGAATGGGGTTAGAACTGGAACCCATGTTCCCCATTTGAGCACTCCTCCTGGCCCTCCTGTATTTTCTTCTCCACTCCGGCCTGCTGCTGTACCATTTCGAACTTCTCCAGTGACACCTCAGTCCGTTGCTTTTTCTTCGGGTTCATCTTTGCCCACGTCATCCCCTCCCCAATTTTCAAATGGATTGGTCGAGTTGCAGCACCAAGTTTCTGACACTAAAGAGGAGCAGCTGCCTGTTGCGGAATCACCAAATGTTTTATTCTCTGCTCATAAGGTATCTCCCTATCTGTTTCATTCAAGCACAAAATACCAATGAATGTCTATTTGTGGGCTTTTCTTTGTTGTTTTCTGTATGTTGTTCATTGCCGAAAATTAAAAAAAGTTGATGTAATAGGATGCAAATTTTGAGAATGGGACTGCTTATAACGNTCAAATGGATTGGTCGAGTTGCAGCACCAAGTTTCTGACGCTAAAGAGGAGCAGCTACCTGTTGCGGAATCACCAAATGTTTTATTCTCTGCTCATAAGGTATCTCCCTATCTGTTTCATTCAAGCACAAAACACCAATGAATGTCTATTTGTGGGCTTTTCTTTGTTGTTTTCTGTATGTTGTTCATTGCCGAAAATTAAAAAAACTTGATGTAATAGGATGCAAATTTTGAGAATGGGACTGCTTATAATGGAAATTTTCCCAAAATTGTACTTTGCGTAATATGTTTATCTTCACGGCTGTGAAGACAGACTTGAATTGAATTCAAATAGGTCATTAATCTTCCTGTGGTGTATTTTAAGCCTCTGAATAATGAAATCCCTTCAACATTTGATGTGGTTGTGATTATATCTCAGCCGTAAAATTTTGATTTCACTCATTACCTATTTTTCTGATTTTCTTTCAACATGACTCCTACTTTTTTCTATCACACAGGACTAGTTGACTTCCCATATTTGGATTTTTATATGTTTTCCCCATCCTATAACTGTTTACTTGATCTTCCTTTACTCCCTCTATTCTTTAATAGATACTGAAACAGAAGAAACTGACAAATGTACCCAGTTTGGGTTTTGGAGCATTGATTTCCCCTGGAAGGGAGGTCTCACCGGGTCCTCAAATAATACAGCGTGATCCCCATCGCTGCCAAAACTGTGGAGCTTATGCAAATCTCTATTGCAATATTTTACTTGGCTCAGGCCAATGGCAGTGCGTTATTTGTCGGAATTTGAATGGAAGTGAAGGCGAATACATTGCTCCGAGCAAGGAAGAGCTTCGTAATTTTCCAGAGTTATCATCTCCTTTGGTTGATTTTGTCCAAACTAGGAGCAAGAGACCTGGTTTTATACCAATCTCTGATTCGAGAATGTCAGCACCTGTTGTCCTTGTAATAGATGAGTGCTTAGATGAGCCACACCTCCAGCATTTACAAAGCTCCTTGCATGCATTTGTAGATTCACTACCTCCAACGACAAGAATTGGAATTTTGTTGTATGGTCGGACGGTTTCTGTATATGATTTTTCGGAAGAATCAATTGCATCGGCTGATGTACTACCAGGCAATAAATCACCGAGTCGGGACTCTTTGAAATCATTGATTTACGGGACCGGTATATATCTGTCGCCAATTCATGCTTCCCTACCCGTAGCACACACTATATTTTCATCATTGAGGCCTTTCAAACTGAATCTTCCAGAAGCAGCCAGAGACCGTTGCCTCGGTACAGCAGTGGAGGTTGCTCTGGCAATAGTTCAAGGGCCATCTGCAGAAATGTCACGTGGGGTTGTTAAAAGATCTGGAGGCAATAGTAGAATAATTGTGTGTGTTGGAGGACCAAATACGTATGGCCCTGGATCGGTTCCTCATTCTTTAAGTCATCCAAACTTCCCCTATATGGAGAAAACAGCATTGAAGTGGATGGAGAATCTTGGTTGTGAGGCTCATCGATGCAATACAGTGGTTGATATCCTGTGTGCGGGAACATGCCCAATTAGAGTTCCTATTTTGCAACCTCTTGCAAAGGCATCTGGGGGCGTTCTGATTCTCCATGATGACTTTGGAGAGGCATTTGGTGTCAACTTGCAAAGGGCATCTACTAGGGCGACCGGTTCCCATGGTTTGTTGGAGATACGATGTTCTGATAATATGTATGTGACTCAAGTTGTAGGCCCTGGTGAGGAGGCACGCACAGACAGTCACGAAACCTATAAAAACGATAGCTCTCTTGCTATTCAAATGCTAAGCGTTGAAGAAACACAGAGCTTTGCACTATCCATGGAAACAAGAGGAGACATCAAGAGCGATTATGTATATTTCCAGTTTGCAATTCAATATTCGAATGTCTATCAAGCTGATATTTCGAGAGTGATTACTGTCAGATTGCCCACAGTTGATAGTGTTGTGGAATATCTTGAGAGTGTTCAAGATGATGTGGCTGCTGTGCTTATTTCTAAGAGGACCCTCTTGCGAGCCAAAGTGTTTTCTGATGCAATTGACATGCAAGCAACAGTAGATGAAAGAGTCAAAGACATTGCTAGTAAGTTTGGATCTCAAATGCCAAAATCAAAGCTTTATCGGTTCCCCAAGGAGCTCTCATTATTGCCCGAGCTCTTATTCCATCTTAGAAGGGGCCCGCTTTTGGGAAGCATTGTTGGTCATGAAGACGAGAGGTCTGTACTGCGGAATTTGTTTCTGGATGCATCCTTTGATCTGTCACTTCGTATGGTTGCCCCTCGATGTCTAATGCATCGGGAAGGTGGGACTTTTGAGGAACTTCCAGCTCATGACCTTGCTATGCAGTCGGATGCGGCAGTTGTTCTTGACCATGGGACAGATATCTTCATTTGGTTGGTATGTTTTTACATTCTTATGCTTTTAGCATGACATTTTACTTCATTTGGTTGGTATGTCACTGAACCTTACCTTCCTACTGTTCAAGTATGACATGTTTGCTGGGTGGTGATGCTTAATATTTATTCTGATCTCTCTCTGTTTTGTTATGTAGTTTGCCTCTTGCTCATAAATTGTGTTGAAACTCTCTCTTGTTGACCCCTACATGCCCTTTTAATTTCAGTTTCTGCTCCAATTTATGTTAAAAAAAGTAGTTGTAGATTTTAGGTAGGGTCTAAGAAGCAAATGTAGGAATGCAAGTATGACTGCATAGACTTCTAGAAACTTTTCTTTTCAAATTAAGAAAGAGGATCAAATTTGTTATTTTTGTTCACATTACTTAGTACGTAAATTCAACCAAACCCCCACCTTCCACCCCCAAGGAAAAGAAAAGTTTCTAGGGGCAGAAAAATCATTGCCTGAAAAAAAGGAGTCAGAATTTGTCTTTTCTTTAAACCACTACTATCACATTCATTGACATGCCACCATGACCACTGCTACTGCTATGGTAATAGCACTGCCACTATCTCCGCAGCCGTGGTCTTGTCTTAATACAAAAGCACTGCCACCATGACCAGCACTGACACTGCAAACACAACTGATTTTACTACGCAGCCAACCACCACACTATCTTGCTATTGGGACACCACTAATTCCTGCCGAATGCCGATATTAGCAGGATTGAGTTCACGATCACTTCGTTTTGTGATAAAGCCAAAAAAATATTTGAAAGCCGTATTATCATCAACAGTTACTATTCCATATAAATCATGTGGTTATGTTAATGGTTCAATTACTTGTTAACAATGTCCCACTTCCATTTTTCCATTTAATACTATAAGCTTGATATCCGGATAATAAATATCTAATGTATGTGTGTACGCTAGTTAAGAGGGGCCGCTTCAGTGGAAAAAGTTCTTGTTGCCAATGTGGAAATCTAATTTTTGTCTGAGAACAATCACTTAGTGGAAATAACTGCTGAGGTTACAGTTGAATTATTTCCACCCCTTTCAGTACAACACGTCAGGACTCTTCCTGGATGGCAGGGCTGGAAGCCTGGAAAAGACCAAGCTCTTGAGCATGACTTGTGAGTGGCATAGCCAAAAGCTTGCTGGAAATTGATGGTTAAATAACAGTATAGCTAGATCACATTTGGAAGTTTGTAATTGATATGCTTTCAAAAATGTTGACCAATGACCATTCGACTTAGAGGACTTTGAGACACATTGATCATAGCATAGTATCGGGCAATATGACTTAAAATAAAATATTAAACTTGATGAGAGAGTCAGATTATATCGCGGTGTCGTGGAATCGTATCGGTTGATTTGGTGATGATAATTGGACGACTCGGATACAACTCAGATGATTCGACCGGTTCGTGTGAGATTTAGGGTTTATACATATCGTGTTTGTATATGTATTATCATAATCCAACAATTTGGCATGAGAGTTGTTTCTAAGCTTAGTGTAGGGTTGTTTTTCCATGATTTCTTTAGGGCATGTATTGAGGTAAATGTAATATAATTTGTCGAACTAAACACTTGTAAGTGCAATAGTATCATTACTTGTGAACAACCTTATCATATACATTTATGTTCAACTTTTGATCATTGGTAATTAGGGGGCAATGATACCTTATAATTGAGTCTATTCTAGGGAACAGTTTCGTCTAGAATGGTAAAGCGTGCAATTTACATTTTCCTATTTGTTGTATCCAGGGTGCGGAGCTTGCTGCTCAGGAAGGAAAAAGTGCGGCAGCTTCAGCGGCATGCAGAACATTGGCCGAAGAGCTCTCTGAAATGCGGTTTCCGGCTCCTCGGATCCTTGCATTTAAGGTATCCACATCCCCCCCCCCC